AGTGATAATGCTTGGTCGTTCACAATTTAAATTATTATAATTCTTGTTGGGGTTCCTGACCAGCAGAGAGGAAAATTTGTGCAGAGAATATACCCTCTCCATTTCTTGGAGCTCTTTACTACAACCACAGTCTGAGAAAGCAGCTGTGCGGCGGCCACTCTGGAAGGCCAAGTTGAGCCACAGGGAATATCCCTGACTCAGGCCGGCAGGTCCTACTAAAGTGCCACATCCAGCACAGCACTGTGTGATGCAGCACAGCCTCACAGTCAGAGACTGGGGCCTAGCTTTGCTCACTCAAGATAAAGAACAGAGCACTAGGCTGGTGTGAGGAGGCGGCGCACGACATGCAGGGCACTCTGGCACACGGTAGAACACTACCTGGGTTGGGGTTCTGACAACAGGAGTGGTGCTGCCCACACTGCAGAGACAGGATCTGGGTATGGCTCAGACCCTCCTCTAGGGAGGGCAGAAATAGGAATGGAACCACAGCTATCAAACACTCACTACCAGCCGGGAACAGTGGCTCATGCTTATAACCCTAGCACTCTGGGAGGCCGAGGGGGGTGAACTGCCTGAGACCAGCCTGAGCCAGAGCAAGACTTCTTTGTCTTGCAAACAGCCGAGCGGCTCGGCACCTGTGGCTCAAGTGGCTAAGGTGCCAGCCACATACACCTAAGGTGGCAGGTTCGAATCCAGCCCAGGCCCGCCAAACAATAATGACAGCTGCAGCCAAAAAAATAGCCGGGCGTTGTGGTGGGCGCCTGTGGCCCAGCTACTTGGGAGGCTGAGGCAAGAGAATTGCTTGAGCCCAGGAGTTGGAGGTTGCTGTGAGCTGTGAGGCCATGGCACTCTACCCAAGGGGATAGCTTAAGGCTCTGTCTCAAAAAAAAAAAAAAAAAAAAAAAAAAAAAAAAAAAAAAAGAAAAGAAAAGAAAGGAAAACAGCCGGGCAAGAAAGTGAGACTCTGTCTCAAAAACAAACAAACAAACAAACAAAAAAACCCCCCACTCACTGCCAAGTGTATTACGGAATTAAGGACTTATACACCGGTCTTATAATTGTTCTATAGCAAACAACAGAACCAAAGTCCTCATGGCCCCAGGGAACTGTCCCAGATGCCCCAAGGAAGGAGGAAGGGGGCCAGGGGCCCAGGGCCTTGTCTCATGATGAAACACTCTCCCTATTCACATGTATCAGCTGGACAATGCCTGACACCTCTACAGAACCCAGGCCTGCAGCTGCCACTCTACCCAAGGCTTGAGAGAGCCCTTTTGGGCTGCTCGGCAAGAGCTGAACACATTTCTCTGGGTGCCTACTCCCAAGGGACTCCCAAGCCTCACCTTTACAAGGATAGAGAACTTGGGTATCACAGGGCAGAATGCTCCCCTGGCAGCCAAGTACTGCTGACAAAACCACATTAAGACAAAAACTTAACTTCCTTTATAATAGGAAGAAAGGGGTGGGGAGGCCACTGCAGGGCAAAGACCCGAGAAGGCTGGTTTTAAATCAAACTGACTCCTCCTGAGTGCATGCTCTATCAATCTGCTTGCATCTTAATTACACCCTAGGTAGTCTAAAAAACAGATGCCTTTACAGCCTCAGTAATAAATATGTTCTTGGGAGCTGTCAATTGGAACAGAAGAGCATCGATGGGCTTGGCTCATGGGGACCTGCTGCTCCAAATGCAATGATATTTTACTGCCTGAATCACATGCCTGTCTAGGTCCAAATGAAGCCTGAACAGATCCTGGCCTGGCAGCAGTGCAGGAAACAAGTGGCCTCCTGCCTCTGCTGACAGAGCTGCGACAGCAATGGCTGTTTCAAATGCATTGTCCTCTCGTCCTGCCACACAGGCTGCCCTTGGTGACAGCACAGCCACAAACCACCTTCAGAAGCAACCTGAGACTGTGGGAAGATGCAGTGGAGCAGAGCCCCTTCTGGGCTCCCAGAGTTCTACTAAAGGACACTGAGGAACAGCACCTGCAGGAGGCTGGTGGCTCTAACAGCCACAGACCAAGCACAGTGTATCCAGTGAGGCTGCCTGGATACTCATGTGACCCGGGACCCAAGGATTAAGAGTGATTGCCTTCTAGAGACTGTTTGGCTTGAAGTTCGGGGTCCTTAGAACTAATATGGGAAAAGTGAACCCCTAGGTCGATTTCAAGGAAATAAAAACCTAAAACTGAAGGAAAGAGTACTTGTAATTGTGAGCTTTATCACGAAGGCTGGGCGTGTGATGATGTAACAGATGTTCATAGCCAGCTGCTCTATGTGGGCACTGCAGCAAGCGTGGGCTATGACACTTAACACCTTCCCAAGCCACTGCCTCCTCCCTTGAGCAGCCACAACCCAGCATCCTGATCTCCACACGCCTGACTGTCAGCCTGCCAGGCTAAAAGGGAGCAGCACTTACATCTATGATCAGATACTCCACCGGCAGGGGCCGGGCCAGCTGGGTGATCTCGTTGCCAAACTTGTCTATGTCCTGAAACAATCAAAAGTGAACAGAGGTGAGTGAAAGTGACCAGTGATAATGCTTGGTCGTTCACAATTTAAATTATTATAATTCTTGTTGGGGTTCCTGACCAGCAGAGAGGAAAATTTGTGCAGAGAATATACCC